ACACACACACACACACACACACACACACACAGCTTGTGAAAAGGTAGATGCCCATGCAGCCTAGCTGGGGTAGAAGGGCAAAGTCTCAGCCAGGTTAGAATTGGGAGGAACCAGTTGGAAGCCCTGCTTTAAAACCTTCTTCGCAGCCAATGGCTTAGCCACTTCTTGAGGCTGCGCTCGGTTGGGGTCCAATGGGCCAGCTCTTTCATTGAGAGACTCCTTCACATAAGTCTTTTTACTCCCAAAGGAAGGTCATGGGGCTAGAGCCCTCACCCTTGGTCTTTTTCACTCCAGAATGCTGAGTGAAGGTCAGGCAGGGGCTGCTCAGCAGTACATGTGAGCCAGGAAAGGTGCAGTTGTAGATGTAGAAGGGTGTGTGTGTGTGTGTGTGTGTGTGTACATGCATACACACTCACAGATATGTGTGAGTACATACACACATTTCAGTTCTTCTGCCCTGAGCCCAGGAGCTGAAGGGCATGGTAAACAAGTGCCTAGGGGCCTCCCCTTGTTGGGGGCAGAGAGCCTTTTGAGAGTATCAAAAAATGTCATGGCAGGTCAGACCCAGGGCCCCTTTGCTCAGTATCACCATTATCTTCATCCTGGTCATCAACAGTGGAGGCAGCACCTCTTTTGATCAGGCTGAGTTAAGACCGTCCCTGCCCTCCAGGAGCTAGGAACTGTTTGAAGCATGAGCAGATAGAGAAGGGGTGCACTGTTGCCCCCTGAACATATAAACATTTCATGGCATTGGAAGCCTGGACAGAATCAGTAGTTCTGGGTCTCAGTAGCCCATCTAGTGGCCACATATCTTTGATATGACACCTTTGCCTCTAAAACCTGGCTGCTTGATGAAGGAGGCCTGGTGGTGCAGTGGTTACATTTTGGGTTGCTAATCACAATGTCAGCAATTTGAAACTACCAGCTGCTACAAGGGAGAAAGATGAGGCTTTCCATTTCCATAAAGAGTAACAGTCATAGAAACTCACAGGGGGAAGTTCTAACCTGTCTTACAGGCTTGCTGTGAATCAGAATTGAATTGATCACAGTGAGTGAGAGTACTGATAAACTCCAACCCAAATGCACTACCTTTGAACCAGTTCTGACTCCTACAGGGTTTCTGTGCCTGTAAAGCTTCCTGGAAGCAGACAGCCTTTTCTTTATCAGTGTGTGGCTGGTGGGTTTAAACTGCGGACCTTGTTGTTAGCAGTCTAATGCCGAACCCACAGAGCCACCAGGGTTCTGAGTTGTAATAAAAGCCAGACCTGTAGCTGTTGAGTCCAACTCATAGTGACTATATATAGGGATTCTGTATACAGTGTATAGGGCTTCGGACGCTGTGAATCTTTATGGGAGCAGACAACCTTCTCTTTATTCTACAGAGCTGGTGTATTTGAACCACCATCCTTGAGGCTAGCAAGCCAATGCTTACCAACAGTGCTACCAGGGCCCCTTTAGTAATAATCGAGGTTCAAATATGGTTACATCTGTGAACATGTGTGGGAAGCATGTTCTTTCAATATGAGTCTACTCTTTATTGAAGCTGATTAACATAACATACAAGTAACCATCAACATGTTAAAGCATACCATTTGGTGGCATTTAGAACATTCACAGTGTTGTGTAAGGATGACCTGATTCCAAGACATTTCTGTCGCTCCAAAAGGAAAGTCTGTACCAATAACCAGTCACTCTTTCCTTCCCCTTCCTCCAGCCTCCAGCCACTGCTATCAATGTCCTCTCTCTGTGGGTTTGCCTGCCTGGACATTTCATATACATGGACTCCTCTAGCATGCAGCCTTTTTGTCTGACTTATTGTGCTCAGTTCAGTGTTTCCAAGGTTCAATGATGTCACCTTGAGTGGTAGAGCATCCTCCTTTCTTAGGCCCACATTTTGCATATACAATCATTTGTTGATGGGCACTTGGGTTGGCCGCTGTGAGGGGAGCTGGTTCAGGGGTACTCTTGAAGGAAAAAAACTTCAATTTTCTAGCATTCTGAACTTAGCCTCAGGTTGGCTCCCTAGGGACCCTGGAGGCTGCCCCAGCCATCAAGGAGCAGATGGTGAGGATCACAAGGCAGAAGGGGCTTTTCTTTGTTGGAGGCCTGCAGCCTGAGAGAGATGTGTGTGTGTGTGTGTGTGTGTGTGTGTGTGTGTGTGTGTAAGTCCTGTATGGAAAGGAGACATTGAGTCTTTGCAAACCAGCAGAAGCCCTTAGTCAGGGTGAATGGAGCCAACAGGGAGAGCCCGGTGGCTGTCGAGGTGACTCAAGGCCAGGCTCCTGTAGTCCCTGCACCTGACGAGCTTCATTGGCATTTCTCTTAAACAGATCGTAGCCCGGGTGGGGTGGGGTGGAAAGAATAAGTTTACCTCCTTGGGGGAAGCTTTCCTTCACCCCTTTTGCAAGTCAGTGATCTCTGTGCAGACCAGGTCCTACTCCCCTCCCCTCTGCTTCGCTCTTCCAGTGCCCTCGGCTCTCCGCGTAAAGCTATCAGCCCTTAGAAGGGGATCCCCTTGGAAGGGGTTAGCTAAGGCCATTGGGAAGCCCAAGCCCTGCCCTTTTTGGATATTGCTCCTCCCCGGGCCATGTCCACTGTGAGGCAGGGAGGCCAGCAAATGCCTGCCCTTACGTGGACAGGGTTGGAAGTGTGACTTAATAAGGTTGAGAGACACAAATAATCCCCTAAGTACTTTGCCATGTAACCTAAGATTATCTCGCCTGCAAACACCTGTTTTCACTCCTTTGCTGACAGTGGTATAAAAAGCTCTCGGGTTAAGGACTCTAGGAACTGCTGAGGGGTGGCAAGCACATGCATTTGTAATGTCTTGGAAATATCTCCAGGTTGGCCAGCTGCACGTGCCCATTAGCAAGGTTGAGGAAGGGCTTCAAGGGCGGGCCCAAGTTTCCACCCTGGCAAGTAGTGGGAGAGTCCAAGGTGAGGGGCGGAGAGGTTCCCTTTGGGATGGACAATGTTTGCACCCCAGTTTCCTCCCAGATCTGTGGTTTCCACGTGGGGGTGGGGTTCGGGCAGGAGTAATAACACAGCTCTGCTTGTCACACAGGGTAGTTGAGAAGACCCAGGGGGATGGGTATAACACTGCTCCTCGGCAGGTCTCCACCACCGCCCCGGAAGATGGGAACTAGATTTATTTAGACGCTTTTGAAAAGCTGAGTGCCAACCCTATGAAACTGACCAATAATGTTCTAATCATTCAGAACTGCAAGTCTCTGCCTCGGGTGGCACAGAAGAGGTTGGCAATTTGTTGGAGAATCAGTTCTCTGCTGGAGATGCGAATCTAGAGGACAAGGAGAGGGCGCTTTACGCAGATGCAAGCCCTCCAGAGAAGACCCGGCTCCTCCACTTTCCAGATGGCAGTGAGGTGGAGACCCCAGAGAAGTCCCCACCGGGGGTCCTTCCCAAGGCTGCTGACTCCGAAGTTAGCCTGTCCAATGGCTCAGCTCCTGAGTCTGCCCAATGGGAGGATGCTGCAGGACCTGGGGAAGAAGAAGAGGGCCCGCCTGAATCCAGTGCCCTTCCTCCAGACGGGGCAGAGGGGGCAGCCGGGAGCGGGCTCTCCATGGAGGAAGCGGGCAGTGGGGTCCCCAAGGAGGCTGCGGGCAGCGGAGAGATGGAGGTAGAGCTCCTCTTGGAGACAGACGGTGAACGGAGCACAAGCCCAGCTCAGGAATCGGAAGTGCCGGGTGAGGAGCCCGAAGTGCCTGGGGAGGATCAGGAATTGCTAATCAGAGTTCGGGAAGTTGAACCTGGGAAAGAAGAGGCTGATGCTGACCCAGAAGCTAGCGCCACTGAGTCGGAGGACCTCCCGGAGCTCAGCCCCAGCGCAGAGTCCAGGGAAACACAGCTCTCTGGAGAGGACCGCCGCCGAGAGGGGGTGCCTGTGAAGGGCCCCAGCGAAGCCTCTTCTGAAGAGAGTAGCGGTGATCATGGAGGCGAAGAAGAGGGAATGACATCCGAAGAATCCGAAGAGAACAGTGGTGATGGGGCTAGTTCCGAAGGAGAAGGGGCTGCGGACTCTGAGGAAGCCAGGGAAAGCCAGGAAGCAGCAGAAAGCAGGAGCCCAGGAGAGAAGGGAGTGCAGTCGAGCACAGAGGAATTGAGTTCAGGGTCCAAGGGCATCCAGGCACAAGATCCCGAAGAGGGGCAGCAGGGTAGGGGACTGCCACATGTACTCTCCAGGGGATAGGAGTTCTGCAGAAACAGCCCCAGCAGTTTTCCAAGAAATCTTGTGGGCAGGGCACAGTCAGGGGTGGATTGCTTAACCTGGAGGCACTGTCCAGGGAGGCAGCGGGACACTAATTAATCGCTACCTCTAGTTTGGAGGGACGGAGTGCAAGGTTGTGCCCTCAGGAGTAAACGCTGTAGGGTCCCTAGATACTCTAACATGGAACAGTGTCTTGACCTTAAAGACAAAGGGAGTAGTGGCAGGTTGGTGGAGGGAGGAACAGAGAATAAATGAGACCATGTGAGCGACTAGTCCATATCAGGTGTGGAGAACTGGGACCTTAGGGTGAGGGTTGTGATGTGAGAGCTGGCTGGCTGTGACCACTGCAGGAGCAGCCACCTCTCAGGCATAGAGGAATGGGAGGTCAGACCCACAGCTATTGGGCAGCATTGTAGAGATGGATCCAGGCCCCAGGGAGTCAAGGCTCCTTGGACCAAAAGTTGGACTATCCTACTAGAGAGATTAGGGTCCATCCTCCACTTTCCAAGATGCCTCCCTTGCAGGAAGTTAATTTACATATTGAGAAGGATCCCTGGTGGTACAATGTTCAAGTACTGGGCTGCTAGATGTAAGGTTGTAAATGTGAACTTACTAGCAGCCCCATGAGAGAAAGATGAGTTTGTTTCTGTAACGATGACAGCCTTGGAAACCTTATGGGGCAGTCCTACTCTGTCCTACTGGGTCAATAGGCGTTGGAATAGACTCGACAGCAACACATTACTTGTTGGGCTGTGGTGCACTCCATACAGTGAGGAGTGCCTGTAATACAAGCTCTTCCCTGCCTTGTCCTCCCTTTTGGAATAGGGGCTACCTGCGTGTGATCCATGTAAAGAACCAAGCTCTGAGGTGCACTAATTCTCTGCTCCTCCCTAAGGGAACCAGTCTCCTGCTTGGGAGGCTTAGGCACATCATCCAAAATATAGTGTGTGATCAATCTGGCTGGGAAATAGTTACAATTCTAAAGGCTCAAGGTTGGAAGATCCCCCGGCCAAAAAAGAGTCACTGGTTCACAATGAGCATCTCTTACTGGTCAAATGCAAGTTACTCTGAAAAGACTCCCTGCAGCAGTCTCTGCCCACCCATCCTCTCCCTCCCCCTCAATGGGATCCTGATACAATGCTAGCTAAGTCATGTCAACGTCTGTTTAGAGCTCCCCTGGACTTTTATTTTTATTTTATTTTTAAAAATTATTTTATTGGGGGCTCATACAACTCTTATCACAATCCATCCATCCATCCATTGTGTTAAGCACATATGTACATTTGTTGCCCTCATCGTTCTCAAAACATTTACCTTCTGCTTTAGCCCTTAATATCAGTTGCTCATTTCCCCTCTCCCTCCCCACTCCCCCTTCATAATTCATGAATTATTATAGTTTTGCTGTAAGTTACACTGTCTGACGTCTCCCTCCGCCCTCTTCTCTGCTCTCCATCCCCCAGGGAGGAGGCTATACTTAGATTCTTGTAATCGGTTCCCCCCTTCTACCCTACATTCCCTTCACCCTCCAGGCCTCGCCCCTCTCACCACTGGTCCTGAAGGAGCCATCTATCCTGGATTCCCTGTGTTTCAGTTGCTATCTGTACCAATGTACATCCTCTGGTCTAGCCAGATTTGCAAGGCAAAATTGGGATCATGATAGTGGGGGGGAGGAAGCATTCAAGAACTAGAGGAAAGTTATATGTTTCATTGTTGCTACCCTGCACCCTGATTGGCTCGTCTCCTCCCCACACCCCTTGACTTTTATTGTACAGACTACTACCCCCTGAACTCTGGTGCCCACCACTCATGCCTCATCGTAGGGCAGTGCCTTAGCCTCCCTCATGCTTTTTGCTAACTCCTGACTAGTCTAGGTGTTTGCAGGTAACTTTGTTGTCCCTGGAACCTGCTCCTGTCACCTAATGAACTATTCACACATCAGTCCTCAGCTCATGTGTAGCTTCCTTTGGGGCATGTCCTCTGGCTTCATATGTGCCCTAACATTGCTACAATTTATTTTCTGTTGGTATTGAGAATATACACAGCAGAACATAGACCAATTTCTATGCGTACAACTCCGCAACCTGATCTTCTTCAAGCTTTGCAACCTTTCTCACCCTCCATTACTGAAATTTTCTTTCCTCATTAACATTGACTCAGTGTTCCCGAAGTTTCCTAACTAAACTTTTGAGTTGCTATTGATAATCTGTTCACATATATAGTTCTTTAAAAGGAGCCTCGGTATTGCTGTGGGATAAGGACTGGACTGCTAACTATAAAGCTGCAGTTCAAATTCACCAGATGTTTTATAGGAGACAGACGAGGCTCTCTGCTCTCATAAAGATTTACAACCTTGAAAACCCTACATAGGGTCACCATGAGTCAGAATAACTTAATTGATGGCAGTAGATTTGGTTATGGTTTTGATTTTGATATAGTTCTTTAAAAGAGCATCATGTTCAAAGTAGTTTTTTTTTACTAAGGAAACTATTGTTTGGTTTAAAAAAAGATTCCATTGTTCAAGGTTTTAAGATTATCTCAGGGCAAAGATTTCAGGGGTTTATCCAGTCTCAGTGACTCCAGAAGTCTAGGTTCCATAAGAAATTCAAATTCTGTTTTACACTCCCCTCTTTTGATCAGGATTATGCTCTAATCTCTGATCAAAATGCTCAGTAATCATCTCATAACTTCTTCAGTTTTTTCTTCCATAGCCTGCATCCAAATTTGTACTTATAACATATTTTAAAAGTTTTTTAACCATTTCCTTTTCCACTAAACTCTAGGAAGACTCCATAAGGGTGGAAGTGACTTAGGGCACCATTGCTTTTCTACCATAATGCTCAAAGCGTGGCATGCAGTTTGTGTTCAGTACACATCTCGCAAGTAAAATGGGTCACAGAGCTTAACAGACACGTACTTGGATTTTCTTTCTTTCTTTCTTTTTTTTGGTATTTGGATTTTCAAATGCCATCCTATAGGACCCAGTTCTATTGCACTTGGTTTCACTGGAGTACCTGCCCCCAGCCTGGGCCCTGTTCACCTCTGAAGGACCTTAGTGTCCCATAATCCTCAGCTGGTGCCTACGTGACTTTCTTTTGTGCTTCTCTTCCCAGAAGAGACGGAGGATGTGAGTGAAGAAGTACCGTTGCGGGATCGATCCCACATAGAGAAAACCCTGATGCTGAATGAAGACAAGCCAGCTGATGACTACTCTGGTAATGGAGGCAGGCGACACAAATGGGGCTGGGCTGGGCTGGGCTGGGTAACCATGTGACTGCCGGCCAGACAAGGCTGACAGAAGCTGGAAGGTGATGGGAACCGTAGCCAGAGGCTCTCTGGAGGGAGGTTTTGAGTGGCACATGAGATAGGAGCTGTGGCTTGGCAGAGAGTAGGAAAGGTAGTCCAGGCAGAGCGACCCCCCCACAGGCACCATGGGGAGTGCTGAAGCTTGTCAAGATAGGGAAGGACTGTAATCCTTTCCTACATGAAGCGCTGTGTGCTATCTGGCCTGCCTCACATTTTTCCTTCATGCTCCTCTGCCCTGCAGCGGTACTACAGCGGCTTCGAAAAATCTACCATTCGTCCATCAAACCTCTGGAGCAGTCTTACAAGTACAACGAGCTTCGGCAGCATGAGATCACAGGTACAACTCCCTTGGGCTCAGAAGTGGGGGCTACACCTAAAGGGAGGGTTTGGAAGCCAAGGCTCTCTCCACATGGTTCATGGACTCCACACCATAGGCCCTTTAGCAAGCAGGAAGGACAGATGCTCAGGGGAGCTGCCCCCCCTTTTCATTGAGAGTTGTTTGCTAACAAGTTGGCCCAACTCATGGTGACCCTACACACCATGGGACAAATCACAGGTCAGACCTGCCCCATCCCATGATCAGGTACAGATTGGACCATGGTGATCCGTAGGGTCTTCATTGACTGTTTATAAGAAGATCGACAGGCCTTTGTTCCTCGTCTGGCGACTAGGGCTTTTATGGGTAATATGTCGGAAGACCTTTTGAAGGTGTTTAAAAAACAAAGGTGTCACTTATGTGCCTGACCCAAGTCATGGGATGTTTAATCGTGTATGTGGACAATGAGTAAGGAGAATCAATACTGTTCATTTATGGTGTTGGCAAAGAATATTGAATGTATGAGTACTATGGACCTAAAGCAGTTGCAACAGTACATTGACAGGGAGCTGTCAGAGAATTCAGAACAAGACATGGAACAAGGGATATCATTGCTGGCATCAGGTGGATCTTGGCTGGAGGCAGAGAATACCAGAAAATTGTTTACTTGTGTTTCATAGACTATGCAAAGAAGAATGGATATTCCAGAACACTTAATTGTGCTCATGCCGAACCTGTATATGAATCCAAGAGGCAGTTGTGCATGTTTTAAATGCAGGAAGGTATGTGTCAGGGTTATAGTATCCTCTCACCATACGGATTCAATCTGCATGTTAAGCAGATAATTAGAGAAGCTAGATTATATGAAGAAGAATTTGACATCAGGATTGGAGGAAGGTTTATTAACTACCTGTGATATGCAGACAACACACCTTTGCTTGCTGAAAGTGAGGAGGATTTGAAGCACTTGCTGATGAGGATCAAGGATGGCAGCCTTCAGTATGGATCAAAACTCAATGTAAAGAAGACTCAAATCCTCACCACTGGTAACAACATCATGAAAAAATGGAGAAAAGATTGACGTTGTCAAGGATTTCATCTTGCTTTGATCCACAATCAATGCTCATGGAAGCAACAGTCAAGAGAGCAAAGAATTCATTGCATTTGCATAATTCTACTACACAAGACCTCTTTAAAGTGTTGAAAAGCAATGATGCCACTTTTGAGGACTATGTTGCATCTGTCCCAAGCCAGGGTGTTTTCAGTGGCCTCAGATGCCTGTGAAAATTGGACATTAAATAAGGAAGACTGGAGAAGAATCAGTGCAGATGAACTATGGTACTGGATAAGAACAGTGAAAGTACCACGGTTTGCCAAAAGAGGAAACATCTGTCTTGGAAGAGGTACATTCAAGATGTTCCTTAGAAGCGAGGATGGTGAGACCTTGTCTCACAGGCTTTGGATATGCTATCAGGAGAGAGCAATCTCTGGAAAAAGATGTCATGCTTGGTATATATGACATGGAGAAACAGAAAAAGAAGAGACCCTCAATGAGACAGACTGGCATCTATCAAGTTTAGCAACAATTTTGAGGATGGCACGGGACAGGGCAGCATTGTATATAGGGTCACTCTGAGTTGGAACCAACTCGATGGCACCTCACAGCAACAACAACGTGGGTTGTTGGAAGAATGAAGCAAGAACCGTCAGACTTAGTCTCATGTGCTTTGGATGAGTTATCGGGAGAGACCGGTCTCTGGAAGAAGACATCATGCGTGGTGGTGAAAAGGGGATGAATCCCAACCAGATGGATTGACACAGTGACTTCACCAAGGGGCTCAAACCTGGCACCAATTGTGAGGATGAGGAAGAGCTGGGCTATGTTCTGGGTCTGCTGTGCACAGGGCCGCTGTGAGTCGGCGCTGCCTCAAGGGATCTGACAGCAGCAGCTAAGACCCCTCAGATTGCAGCGCTGCCCCTTCAGCAGTTCAGAGTTTGATTCCAGAGCCATGAAGCCGAAGCCGCTCACAAATGCTCTGTCGTCACTTCTGACCTGGTGGCTCCACTCCGCTGATTGCCTGGATTCCTTTGGTCTTCCTATGATTCTTTCCATCCTGTTTCCCTTGGATCTACATTTTTATAAAATCGCTTTTTCAAAATAATAAAACACTTAAGAGATACAAGACAAGACCCAATTATATAAATAAAAACCCTCTTCTTGATCTTCGCCTTTTAAAATTCTACCTCAAAGACTGCTACTGTCATAGTTTCTTGGGAGTGCTTTTAGACATTTACTTAGCATACATAAGCATATAACATTTCATGCTTTGTTTTTTTTCAAAAATGGGATCATGTTATTCAAACTGTGTGTGTGTGTTGGTGGTGCGGGGTGCCATCCAGGCTGATCCCACGTGAGAGAGTGCAGCGGCCCCATAGGGTCTCCTAGGCTGGCATCCTTACAGGAACAGATCCCCAGGATTTACTCTCATGAAGTAGTTGCTGGGTAAGTTTGAAACACCAATCTTTCAGTTCTCAGTCAAGTGCTTAACTGTTGAGACACCAGGGCTCCTTAGGGTATTGCCATTATTGTTGTCGAGTGCTGTTGAAGCTATTTCAATGCATCGAAAGCCTCCGCACAGCAGAAAAAACACTACCGGGTCCAGTGCCATCCTCAGAATTGTTTTGACCTTTGAGGATATTAGAAGGCATATATTTTCAGTCCTACTTTACTGAAAAGAACCGATGCCTACAGAACTTCTGGGTTGCCTAGGGTCACACAGGTGCAGTTCGGGGCCTGTAATTCTCTGCTTCTCTAAGAGAATACCCACTGCTCACAACTACCTGTGCTGTTTATGACAAGTCTACAGGCAAATTCTGCACCATGAAGGATGTCTAGACATTGATGTGAGGTTCCAAAGTCTCTCAGCAGTCTTCCTTTGCCTTCCACAAGGTCTGTCTTCCAATAATAAGACCCAGTGATTGGGTCTCCTTGGAAGCAATAGTCTTGAGGGCAGAAGAGGCAGGGGTGGTAGGTTCGTGGGGCAGGTAGGGCTCCACGTTGCCCAGGGAACGGTGCTCCCAAAGGAGATGTACAGGTTCTTGGTGCTGCTTGTACTTTCTAGGCTTGGTTCTTTTGAGTCCTTTGACATTGCTTTTGGGCAGCTCCTCCACGACCCCCTCCTCCAGTGTCTCACCTGTGGCCTGCTGCATGTGCCAGTACCGCCCCTGCTGTAGTGTGCTAAGCAGCAGCTCCTGGAAAACACTCCTCGTGGGACCCTTCTTCGAGAGCCTGAAGCCCCTATGGACTCTCTGTTATTATAAGGGGCTTTCCTGCCCTCCTCCTTCTCAGCTTGCCAGCCCTTGCCCCCAGTTAGGCAGCCCTTGCCCTCAGAGAGCCATGTTGTCTTGATGTGTTTACAGGTAAAATGGATGAAGCTAAGACATATGATCAATGCAAGCAACACACATGTGCCCACCATTCATAAGACATCATCTTGGTCTTCTAGGACCTAGCTCCACCTTAAACTCTAAATCCATTGCCATAGAGTTGAATCCAACTCCTAATGGCCCTACAGGTCAGAGCAGAACAGCCCCAGTGGGGTTCAAAGGCTGTAAATCTTTATAGGAGTAGATTGCCTCATCTTCCTCCTGTGGAGTGGATGGTGGGTTCAAACCCACCAAGTGCTTAACAACTGAACTACCAGGGCTCATTTATACTGAGTGCATGGCCCAAGAATTGCCAATTCAGCCTTTGGTTTTGGACATTAGCAAGTTTGTCCTGGCCTGTAGAGGTGACCATGTGAGAACGGCCCTGGGCCTCAGGGTGGGGCTGAACCTGAGATGGGGATTGGGTGGTCTCAGGTAAGGATGAGCAGGGCCTGATGTCCAGGTGGTCCAGAGTTGTGTGTCTTTCACATTTTTCCAGGTCTGTTTTCAACCAAGAGAGCAGAATATTTGTTTCTCTGCATTTAGAAGCTCTGCCCCTGCCCCTTTCACATTAAGGACATTCTCCCTTAGAGCTAAACCAGGACACTGCACCCACACCAAGCTCTGATTGTTTTAGAATTGCCTCAGATACTCCTCCTGGTGCAGATGTGCCAAGGATCTGTACAAGACTCACATCATACCTGTTGTTGCTGAATTGAGAGATCGCACTTGGGAAGCAAGAGCAGTGTCTGATGGGTGGAGAATTCCACAATCCAATTAGGTGGACTGTGAGCAAATGTGCCATTCCTATAGGAAAAAACCACGTGGGTCTTCTTACAGTTCTAATTTCTGTTGCCCACAGATGGGGAGATCACATCCAAGCCCATGGTGCTGTTCATTGGACCGTGGAGCGTTGGTAAATCAACCATGATAAACTACCTCCTTGGGTTGGAAGATACTCGCTACCAGCTCTATACAGGTAATAGATCTTCTTTTGCAACTGTTGGTATTCAGATGTCCTCTGTAAAAGCATATTGACACAACATTAACTGGAGTCTTCAATCGAATAATGAAGAACACGTGTAAGAGAGGAACACCTTAGCAAATACAAGATCCTAGTCCTATGGCAAAGACACTCCTGGAAACACTTTTCAGAGCTGTTTCCTGGGAAGGCCAGCCCTCTTCTTGGGAAAACAAAGGAGTCTGTGGGGAGGTAGGAGTTCTTATCACACACTCTGGGACCTGGGTCTGCTGCCTGGGGAGTGTTGGGTGCCTAACTTGATGCTTACCCCTCCGGTGTAGGTGCTGAGCCCACCACCTCTGAGTTCACGGTCCTCATGCATGGGCCCAAGCTGAAGACCATTGAGGGCATCGTCATGGCTGCTGACAGTGCTCGGTCCTTCTCACCCCTGGAGAAGTTTGGTCAGAACTTTCTGGAGAAGCTGATTGGCATCGAGGTTCCCCATAAACTTCTGGAGCGGGTCACTTTTGTGGATACACCAGGCATCATTGAGAACCGCAAGCAGCAAGAAAGAGGTAATTTAGTCCTCATCTCTGGACAGCATGAGCTTTGCCTTAGAAGAGCATTTTCCACAGTGGGGAGCAGGCAGGGGGGTTCAGGGGAGGTCTGTGGAGAGAAAATGTGGCCAGTGTTCCTTCAGAGCAAGAGGTGCATCCTTTCCTCCCACCCGCTTCCTGTTGACACTAACGCCCCTTGTCTTCCCCCCAAGGACTCCTTTGGTTCACTTTCCCAAGAGAAGGGCTGATTTTCCCAGGAAACAGCTCTTAAAGGTCCAAGCTGGGGTAGTGTTGTCTTTGGAGGTTTAATTGGTCCTGAATGATCAGAACCCCCAAACCTACAGCTGTTGAGTTGATTATTACCTGTATTGAGGGACCCTGTAGGACAGAGCAGAACTGCTTTCTGGGGCTTTATATCTTCATGGGAGCAGATTGCTCCCTCTTTATCCCATCTGGTGGCTGGTGGGTTTAAACAACCTACCTTTCGGTTAACAGCCCAATACTTAACCCACTACACGCAGTGCTCCTACTGAGTAATCAAGGGCCAGGATTCAGCTCAATAAAGAGTGTTTGACCTCTAGCTAATTTGGTTCTGGGACTTTTCCCATCCCAGTTTCTCCTTTATTAGGCCTGCTTCAACACAGATCTCTATCAGGTTTCCCAAAGTCCTTCTTGCGTCCACGTGGTAGGGCTCTGGACTGTGACATGGTGTGAAAGACCACGAGGTATTGCCATCATCCAGGGCTCTTAGTAGAGATGAGTCTGAAGAGAGCCCTTGGAGGAAGACATGACCAGAGGGTAGTTCTCACTTTATGGTACAACTCCCACTTTGGTTATAACCAGACCCTGTTTTGGTATTAGTAATAATATTATCACTAATAATTAGAACAGTAAGTGAATATATTTTACACTCTGGTTTGTCTATTGGAAATTTTATGTATTATGTATTGTATTGTTCATTGTAAGTCACTTTCCAAGAGAGCTTGTCCTAATCTCATTTTGAACCTAAGAAAACTGAGGAAATAGTAAAGGGAATGAGCTACAACATATTGAGCTACTAGGTGACAAGCACTATGTTCATGGGGCAGTACCCCATATTTACAGAAATAGAGTTGTCTTTATATTAATATAGGCATTCTTGTCATTTTGTAGCTAAAAAGCTAAAGCTTAGGAACTTTTACTCTGCAGCCACCCAATGGGAAAGCCCACATTCCAGTCCTGGTCTTGATGTCAACTCCTATTTCTTTCCCTTAAATAACACATTCTCGCTTTCACTTTATTACATTTCCCTGGCTTTCCCCCTTCCTTCAACATCCATTTCCTATCTCCATTTAGAAAAGAACAGTTCACTTCCCTAGAGAGTTGGGTTCTCCTGATGCTTAAAAAAAAGGACCAGGCTGTTCTTGGTTGAAGGTTGACAAGGGGCAGAAGATAGGCATTTAATTATTTGAAAGACATTATTTATTTATTTAATAATTAAAAAACAAAACAAAAAGCCAACCATTTTTACTGGGAACTGGGTGAAGGTTTACAGGGAAAAAAAATCCATTTTCCAGTCAACAATTCATACACATTTTGTTTTGTGTTGTTAATTGCAATCCCCACAATGGACGATATCACTTCTCCCACTTCTTCCCGGTGTTTTCTGTTTCCATTTCTCCTCCTTTCCTAACGCTTCTGAACTTTGTTCCTGGGAAAATGCTGCCCTTTTGATCTCAAATGGCCGATTATTCTAAGATGTGCACATTGTCCTGGTGTTATTACTCCCTTTATAGACCTGTCATTGTTTGGCTTAAAATGGAGCCATGGGGGTGAGTTCATTCAGTTCCAGACCTAAGGGTGTCTGAGGGTTTTGGGGGGTTCCACTAGTCTGCATCCAACTAGCAAACCTAGTCTTTTTTTATTTTTTTATTTTATGATTTTGAGTTTGGTTCCACATCTTTTTCCTCCTCTATCCAGGACTGTTTAATGTGATCCCTTTCAGGATGGTTGGGAGTGGTAGCCTTTGAAAGTCTTTAGAAACTTAGAGAATCCTTAATGCTTTCATCTCTTTCTGCCCATGGCATAGCTCGGTCCTCAAAGGAGGCAGCGTAAGTTTTAAGGACGTCTACTGAGCTGGGCTTCTCATTCCTATCCCCCCAAGGTTACCCTTTCAATGATGTGTGCCAGTGGTTCATCGACAGAGCCGACCTCATCTTTGTCGTCTTTGACCCAACCAAGTTGGATGTGGGTCTGGAGCTAGAGATGCTCTTCCGCCAGCTGAAGGGGCGTGAATCCCAGATCAGGATCATCCTGAACAAGGCCGACAACCTGGCCACCCAAATGCTTATGAGGGTATACGGTGCTCTCTTCTGGAGCTTGGCCCCTCTCATCAATGTCACAGAACCCCCAAGGGTCTACGTCAGCTCTTTCTGGCCCCAAGACTTCAAGCCCGACACCCACCAGGAGCTGTTTCTCAAAGAGGAGATCTCCCTGCTGGAAGACCTGAATCAGGTGATTGAGAACAGGCTGGAGAACAAGATCGCCTTCATCCGCCAGCACGCCATCCGGGTCCGCATCCATGCCCTCTTGGTCGATCGCTATCTGCAGACATACAAGGACAAAATGACCTTCTTCAGTGATGGGGAACTGGTCTTTAAGGACATTGTTGACGATCCCGATAAGTTCTACATCTTCAAGACCATCCTGGCCAAGACCAACGTCAGCAAGTTTGACCTTCCCAACCGTGAGGCCTACAAGGACTTTTTTGGCATCAACCCCATTTCCAGTTTCAAACTACTCTCCCAGCAATGCTCCTACATGGGTGGCTGCTTTCTGGAGAAGATTGAGCGGGCCATCACCCATGAGCTTCCCGGCCTCCTGGGAAGCCTAGGGCTAGGGAAGAATCCAGGTGCTCTCAACTGTGACAAAACAGGGTGTGGCGAAACCCCAAAGAATCGCTATAAGAAACACTAATTGGTGGTGTCGCCATTCCTCTTGGTGAATGAGCTTTCCTCCTGTCTGTCTGAGAAGTCCTGGTTCATTAACCCTTTGAGCCTCACTGGTGAGAAGTTGGGAGTAAATTCAATGGTGACATGGGAGATTTGGGAGTACATTGAGGCCAGTGGTAGGGGAAGGAACATGGGTGGGGGAGAGAGTGGAAACTGTGAATTAGAGGGTGCTTGTCTTATTGCTTCAGGTAGGAGACCTGATAAAGCTAGTCAGGTGACAGCTGCTTTCCGGGAGCCTTTTCTCTGGAGGGCCTTCTAGCATGTGCAGGATGCAAGAAGGCCAAATAAGCTACAAGCAGCTGGATGCCTTTTCCTTATGCGCTGGAACAATAGTGAGCGCCAAGCGCCCAGGGCTCCTCAGGCCCGTTCTGATTCCTTCCACACGCACAACTTCTGTTCCCCAGCCCTCTGCTGCCTCCAGTGTCCAGGGGAACTGTCAGCAGTGGGTGGTCTCTTGGGCCTGACTAGACGGTTTCCTCGAGGGGTAAGGCAGGGCCTTCAGCTACTGGTCCCCAAAATAAGGCGACTCCCCAGAGTTGGATGGACCCCTCCTCCTCCAGTTCTGGCGCACACTTCTCAGCCAGTCTTGTGGTCAGCACTAAGTAGAAGACTCAGAGGTGACCGAAGTCGGGTGGGCTCAGAGGGCTCATTGGTTTGCAGTGTCTTTGTCTGTTGCATGTCTTGGAAAACTCAGCCCCCAAAGGTGTGGGCTCCAGAAGGGCAAATGTCTGGCTTCTTTCCATGGGGTCCCCTCCCTTTCAGGCAGTCAGCAGCCTGCCTCCTCAGGTTAAGAGTCTCTCTGCAAGAATGCTTTGCAGAGGACTCCGCCCTCCTCACTTAGCACCAGGGCCTTGTCTGGCCTTTTCTTCTTTCCCTGATGTGCTGTGTGTGTGCGCACAGACACACACGCTGCGGCAGGTGCAGTTGTTTCGGTTGAGCCAGAAAGGGCTCTGGCCACTCGGTGCCACTGTTAACAAGGCTGGACATCTAGTGTCCCCGTGTCCACATCCCACACCCCAGGAGAGCCAGGCCTTAGAACCCCAGTGAGTGTACATGTAGGTGTTGTATGAGGGAGATGCCATATGTTAGAGAGCACAGAGAAGGGACTTCGGAGGGAGACTCCTGCCTGGCTCATCTGTCCCTGCAGAGAGTGAGAGGGGGAGGAGGGAAGCAGCAGCCCTTTAAGGACATGTGGTTGGGTGAGTGGTCTGTATAAGCCCAGGATACCTGGTAGGACCACCTGGGGAGGTTCTTCTCAGCACAGGGAGCCGGCTGTCCTGCGGACTCGACGGTGGGGCCTGGTCAGGTTTCACCAGCTCCAGGAAGTCCCCTCCATCCCGAGGGAGAGTGATATTGAAGGTGGAGGGAGAGGCAAGGCCTGCTGGCTCAGTTGACTGGTGGCCCACACATCCTCGGGACTGTCAGCACTCACAGTGAGTGGTGGCTGTTCTCGGCTTTACAGAGGACCCAGAACCTCTAAGAGCTCCCAGGACATTCTCTAAAGAGAGAGGCCATCAGCCTACGAGTTTGGTGACAGGGGCTACTAAGCTGGAATCTGTCCTGAGCTTTTCTTCTTACGGATACAAACCAATCCATACAAACACAAAAATCACTCACCTTCTCTCTCCTCAACTCACTCTAATGGGGGTCCGCCCTCCCACTTCCTTCCGTAATGTTCCCTGATGCTCACCAGCACACCTCTAGCCCCTCTGTGTTTCCCAGAGCAGGGAGGGAAGTTAAAACTGGCCTAACCCTATAGGGACTGGCACAGCTGTTGACGTCACCCTTCCTTTGGGGCAAGTGGGTGGAATGAGGCAAATGAATTCATACAGTAGTTATGTTTTCAGGGGCCTCCATTATCAGTGTGTTCTTTTCTTTGTTTTTCCCCTTTTGCACATTTTTTTCTTCCATTGAATTTTCTTTTATTATTCCCTTTCTCCTTGAATTTTTTGTGCTCCTCACTCCTTGACTCCCCTCTCTCCTGCCCATCCACGCGCCTGCCACGGCATCCATCAGCCGTGTAGGAAGTCCTGGTTGGGGTCCAGCTCACTGGGTAGAGGCGGATGTCTGGTCCAGTCCTGACTCTTTGGGGGGCAGCAGGGCCTTGGGGAAGTCTTAAGACCCAGAGATCCCCACAAGAGGTCCATCTGTCAGTACTGGTGCCTGAACGGTCGCTGTTTCTCTCCAAAGTGGAACCTTCCCAATGTTCTTCCCATTCTGAGTTCGACAGGGAGAAGGTCTCAATAAAGTGCCAATCTCTCTTTAACACCTTGTACGCTCTCATTGTCTCCACCCTCTCGATCCTGTCTTTCTCCCGTCTCGTACAATGCTGCTTTCTTCAGCCTCTCAGGGGAGGACTGGACACTTGCACACTGCACTCCTGCTTCCAGCCTTGCAGGTGGTGGGAGTTGACTCATCCCCTCCGCTGGTAGTGAACCTCAGGCCTCCTCTTGTGTGTCTGAAGCGTTCAGAAGTACCTCTCCGCCATAATGTGTCATTATTGCTGGCTCTCTTAGTTGGGGTTACTTGGCATTTCTATTCCCTGCCCAGGCACAGTTAGACCATTTGCCAAACACCACCAAGCATGCAGCTGCCCGCTTGAGCCCCAAAGGCTTTGGTGGAGGAAGCCGGGAAGGTCTTCCCTGAATAGAAGGATGGCCTCTCCTGTATCTTCTCCATCCTTGAGGTGAGTTTGGGCCTCTTGACTATACTTGTCTTTAGAGAAACCTGCACATGCCCTTGATTCTCTGAGTTGCTCATGCCCTACACCCCCATATGCTGTTCCCATGTCCCCTTTGGGGCAGAATGCAGCCATTCAGAAGTGCCTCCTCTGGGATTGCCCTGAGCAATTTCCCATCCTTTTTTGACAGCAGGTTTTGAAAGGAAATCACTGGGCCCCAGGAAGGCAGGCCATGAGAGGTGGGAAAGAACCAGGAAGTTGAGACTGTGATGCAAAGACCACTTTACCACTGATGGAGCCAGACCTGAATGGGAGTGGGCAAAGCTCCTGAGTTCCCACTCAGGAGAGGCTGGTATCAGCGCAGACGAGCAGGGCCATGCAGTTGGCCTCCTTTCTCCCTGCTAACCCCCCAATTGTGACAGTCTACAGTCTTAGTGCAACTTGGGGCCCCTCCCTCCTCACCCACCTCCACACCAGCTCACTTCTCCCATCCACACTTGCACACCGTGTCTCCCCAGGACTGCGGCTTTGCCCTGGATGAAAACTCAAGCAGGTGAGGCCTTTTAAAAAAGATACATTTTCCACATGCTGGAACCTGCCTCAAATGTGCGGCTTCATCCACTACCAACGTTGCAGTAGGCCTACCCATAGGATGATAGAGGATGGAAACACACAAAGGACTTAGTCCAGCCATGATGGGGAGGGGAGGGTCATTCCTGTATGTAGCGTCAGACTATATGGGACTCATTTCATTCCATGTGTATGGGGCATGGAGAAATGAGTATGGAAAGTCTGTGTGCCTGGAAACAAATGGATATGTGAATTTTGACCAGATGATGCTCCGGTACCTGGCACAGCACCTAGTGCCTATGTGCTTTTGAAGGAACCTACTTAGGTTCTGCCGGGAATATAGACAATGTACATGCATTATAGTGTATAGGGGCTCGGGTGAGTAAGTATGGCCCATGGGCGGGGCTGTAAGGAAATCATTATAGGAATATGTGGGTGTAGAATAGAGTTTGTGGGAACATGTTTATAGGCAGGGGTGTGTGGGCAGTTGAAGGTGGTCATCCAACCCAGGTAAGTCCCCAGGGAGACCAGTAACGGGAGGGCCCTGGCAGCTGTCTCCTTTCCCAGAGAATCTCCCTTTACAGAACTCACAAATACAATATGAATGCCATCGAGTTTGTAGCTCGTCCTCACATGATGGACATTTTGATGGTTTCTAGTCTTTACTATTAAAAATGATACTCCAAAGTGGTAGAGTCACCTGCTTCCATTCATGGAAGAAGGAAAAGGACACGGGGAAGTGTGCATGCTTTTGCTCAGTTGTGTAAAGGAAGGATGAGGTAAAAAACAGAGAGGCTGGAATAAGAGTAAAGCCCTCAAAAGCCGGAACCTGGATAGGGTGGGCACTTATCAGAGAAGGACAGCTCAAATCTTGTCCACTAACATGAGGGACAGAAATAGTCATCCCACAGGAACTAGGTGGTGCCTGGCTTCCGTTACTAATTACTCTGAAAAGAGGACACTAGAGCAGGAGAAAAACGGGGAACCAACTCAAAATCAGTAAGAGACCAGGGTTACTGGTCAGATAGAGACTGGTGGGACCCCCAAGGCTGGGACCCTTAGGATTCAAGTCTAGAACTAAACTTACCGCCACTTAGAACCATCAACCATTTGAGATCAGAAGGGCACCAATTGGCCAAGGACAAAGTTCAGGGGGAACTGTGGGACTCCAGCCAATAACACATCTCACTCCGACTTGGAGAAAATACCAACAAGCTGAAATGGAGGGATATTGTACCAGGTACTCAGCCAGTCTAATTTTCAGTGTTGTTATGTGTCGGTGAGTCACTTCCGACACATAGCAGCCCCATGTGACAGAGTAGAACTGTCTCTGGGTTCCCTATGCCATAGTCTTTACAGTCCACCTTTTATTGTGTCAAGCTAAATACCACAAGCGAATGGCTCTAACAAACAGAAATGTATTCTTTCACAATGAAGGAAGCTAGAAGTCTGAATTCAGAGCACCAGTTCTAGAGGAATGCTCTCTGTCAGCTCTGGAGGACAATCCTTGTCTCCTTTCAACAACTGTGTCTCCTTTCAACAACTGTGGCCCCAGCATCCCTTGGCAATCTCCATGTGTCTTGGCAACAATCTTCCCATAGGTCTAGGATGTCCTCAGCCAAGGAGCATGCTCCCATTATGGCTTTTCTTTCTTGGTGGTAGTCAGGTCAGGTGCTCCCCCTCACCCCCTGCTCCTTGTAGCTGTCTTTTTATCTCTTGTAAGATTAAAAGATGATACAGGCCCTGCCCAAGATATGAAGGTGTTTTCATCTCTCTAATCCCCTTACAATGGATTGGCCGAACACATGAGAAGAATTACTGCATCATTAAAAAACTGTCAAATTACATAGCTACATAACTGCCCAACCACAGAGAATCAGGGTCCCACCAAGATGACAGTTCGTTTTTGGAGACACAAGTCAGTTCATAATATGTTGAATTGTTGCTGTTGTTTGGTACCATCAAGACTGTTTGAGAGCTACCCTACTACAACAGAACAAAACACTGGTCCTGCACATCCTCACAATCACGCCTCTGTTTGAGCCCATCACTACAGCTACTTTGCCAATCTGTTTAGTTGAGGGTCTTCCTCTTTTTTGTTCACCTTCTACCTAGCACAATGTCCTTCGACCTTTTGCGAGCCCCCTCAAATTTACCTAATTGAAAGCCTTAAATCAACTCTTAAGCCCAAATTCCATCCTGGGACAAAAGTCCTCTTCGTCTGTGAACCCCTGAGATGCAGAAGACAACAAGCATTCTGCTTCCATGTACAGTGGTAAGAAAGGCACATGGTAGACATTTCCTTTCAAATGGGTGAAATTGGAGAGAGAGAGGATAAGAGGCACCAAGCAAGTGAAAAAGCCCCGTAGAACAATTTACACGAGCTCTCGGAGCCCCTCTGGATAGTGGCCCTGCCCTCTAGATGCCGTGTTAGCCCCGCTCTCCAGCTTCTAGGTGGAGGCCCATGGTTGCAACAGTACATCAATAGGGATGGCCAGAAATTTGAGCCAGATTTAGACAACCACATGGAATGAAGGATAGCATTGCTGATGTCAGATGGATCTTGGCTGGAAGCAGAAAAATGTTTACCTGCAGTTTATTGACCAGGCAAAGGCATTTTGACTGTGTAGGTCATAACAAATTATGGGTAAGATTCTGAAGAATAGCATTTTCATAACAATGTGCTCCTGCAACCCTTGTACATCGACAGTCATCTGAAGTGGACAAGGGGGTACTGTCTTGTGTCCCCTTAACAATCCGTATAGTGAGCAAATAATCCTAGGAGCTGAACTATATGAAGGAAAATCTACCATCAGGGTTGGAGGAAGACTTATCAACAGCCTGCAATATGCAGATGATACAACCTTGCTCGCTGAAAGGACAAAGACTTGAAGTATTCACTAATGAAGACCAAGAACTACAGCCTTCAATATGGATCACACCCCAACAAAGAAAAAAAAAATCTCACAACTGAACAGTATCATCATAAACACCACGAGAAAAGACTGAAAATCAAGGATTTCACTTTACCTGGATCAACACCTGTGGCAGCAGCAGTCACAATGGCAACTGACATATTGCACTGGGCAAATCTGTTGCAAGAGACCCTTAAAAAAAAAAAAAGCTAAGATGTCACTGGAAGTCCATGGTATATATTCAATAATCTTTACCAGCCCCATCATTCAATGCTGCTACCTCGACTTCCTGATACACTGTCCAGCTTCCACATGCAAATGAGGTGATTGACATAGGTCAAGCATAAATCAGTTGGTCCTCAAAGATCACTGAATATTCCATGGGCTGCCAGAAGAATGACCATTTCTGTATTGGAAGAAGGACAGCCAGAATGCTCGCTAGGAGTAGGACTGGTAAGACCTGGTTGCATCTACTTTGGACATATCAAGAGGGACTGGTCCCTGGAGAAGGCTGTCGCACTCGGTCGAAACTGTCAGGGTAAAAAGGAAGACCCTCAAGGAGATGAACGGACTCAGTACCTGCAACAATGGCCTCAAATATGGCAGCCATGGCGCATGGGCATGGCGTAGGGCCTGGTGTTGTTCTGTTCTGTGTCCTATTGTATGTAGGGTCACCGTGAGCAGCCGGAACCAACTGAACATAAACACATTTAAAAAAAAATTTTTATGGAAGCCAGCCATCAGGTCTTTTTCCCATTATCCACTGCCATCTAGTCAATGCTGACTCATAGCGACCCAATAGGCAGACTAGAACGGTCCCTGTAGATTTTCAAGATTGAAACTGTTCATTGGCGTCGAAAGCCCTGTCTTTGTCCTGAGGAGCAGCTGAACTAATGACCTTGCAGTTAGCAGCCCAACATGTAACCACTACGCCACAAGGGCTCCAATTAGATACCACCAACTTATCATCCACGAGGTCTATGTCAGTTTATATTCCTAACAACAGCATATGAGAATGCATAGCAAATCTGTCTTGGGAGAAGTAAAGTCAGAATGCTCCTCAGAGGCAAGGATGGTGAGACTTGGTCTCAGGTGCTTTGG